TTCTAATCTATTCAGGATAGTTCAGGATCCTGGAACCATAATAGGAAATTGAAAATTACCTTAAAACTAAGTTTCACACTGTATAATTTTTGATGTTTATGCAGCAACCTGGCCTTTAACAAGTCAATATTAGCAAATGTCTTATTTTCCCCCAAAGATAATGATTGAATAACTACAATATGCAAGGCAAGGCCGTCTGGGAGTCTCCTAGATAAATTTGATCATCAGAAGAATCCCATAAGTCCCAGGAATGGGTCTGCTTTGGTATCCCTGCTGTGCTCAGGCATGGGCTGGGTGGTGCCTGTGGGAAGTGTGAACTCCATGAAAATTCAGCAATGGATTTCAGAGCTCAGAAGTTTGAGTCCTTGGTCAGTTATACTCCCTCTAGTTGTAGGTCTTTGAGGCACATACTTAGGAGCACCCCATCATATTTGTCTGTCTTAGTTATAGGTAAAAATAAAATTGTTAAAGGCTCTAGTGTACTATTTGCTTTATAGAGTGAAAGATAAATGTAAATTTTACTATGAGGTGATGGTAGGTAAAAGAAGCTACTATTTATGCTTCTCTCTTACTCTCGTGCAGAGTCCCCTCCTTCACAACCACCCATACTTCCCTCAGAGTAAGATGATAAAGTGAGCATGACAACGTTCCAAGACAAGCTCCGTATGATCTGCCTTTGCAGTGTGTTTTGGCTTTGCCCCTCTTCATGGTTAATTTTCACTACACCACTAACCAAATTATATTTTTCAATGTTTATTTATTTTTATTTCATCTTTGACTTCCTCGGTTAGAAAAAGGGTTGGCTATTCATGTCTCTATAACAAAGAAGTGTGAACATGGTAAGTTAATTCAGTAATTTTGTTAAAGTTCTGAGATCAAAGCTTATTGTCCTAGTGTTTTTCTCCACGATTTTCAGTATATGATAGTATAGGCCATTTCCTTAGAGTCCACTCATGTAACTGTATTACCCTTGTTTAGAGATTTTAAGTTCCACTACTTATTAAGGAGTACCGTAGAATTTCTTATGTCAACCATGAAAAGAGCTATACACTGTAGCTGTAAATAGTATTTATAGTTACATACATGTAGTTGTTTGTAACATGCCTTTTAGAATCTGTCTGCAGTGACTTTCAAAGGTCACCTTTGGTGGTTATGTAAACATAAAACAATGGATTTGCTTTTGGACATCTAAGAATAAGATGCAGTGTCTCATGCCTGTCATTTACCAGCAGAAGAAATGTTACTCCTCAGCTTTGTCACAATGCCCTCACATTCTTCAACCTTGAGTTAGTCAGCCACTTATCAGCTGATGTGATTTTACATTTTTGCCTTGATCATTAATCATTCACTTTAAGTTCTTCTTTTGTAGTGTTTGCCAGTTGCTTCCAAAACAAACATGCTTTCTGGGCTTGAGGAAGGGAAAAGCAAAAAAGATCGAAAAGAATATAATAGATGGTTTCACAGTTATTTTGGCTTTATTACTAATGCTGACTACTATCATAAGGTATAGAACTAAGCTTGAGGTTTTAAGAAATACTTTATTAAAGGAACTTTTTCTTCAGCCCTAATGAGAATTTATAAACATGATTGGATGGTACTGTTAAGTTGAAGGGAGAAACTTTCTCTCCTAAGAGAGAAAATCGTTTGCTGTTTTTCTGAAAATTTGAGTGTGGATTTACATAGTTTTAAATATTCCTTTTAGATTTACTGTTGTTCCTAAAACAGTCTCTTTTTTTGCAGGACATTTATTTATTTTGTGAAATATATTAATAAAATTACATATTCAACTGACATAATTTTTTCCTTCTATTATTCTGTAGATAATAATCAACCAGGTGTAAACATGAGTAATATATTTCCCCTACTGCATTGTATATTCCTAGTCCTTTGAATAAGCACCTTTGCAAAATGTATTTCATTTTTGTCTTGATTAAAATTTGCTTCATGAGTTAGAAGAGATCATGAACCCTGGGTAATGCATTTTGGTTGTAACTAAAATTCTTAAGTCAATTAATTATGAGTTACACCATACATGGAACTTTATGACACCGAGAGTATTCTATTAAAATAGCAGTATTGAAATAGCTGCTGGCCCTTTCTAAAAAGTATGGCCAGTTAGATCACCTAAATAATGGTCTCTTAAATTACAGAATTAAAAACATCATATTATTTCCCACCTGATAATTGGATGACAGATTAGACATTAACCTAACCTTCCAAAAGCCTAGAGATTTCTTTTCTTTTTCCTTCCCGTCCCTTCTTATTTGTGTTAGTTTTATTTTCAGTAGAACAGATCAAGGAATTTCTCTTAGTTTATGAACCTTTCTAGAAACTTAAATACAGCTTATACTTTTGCTATTGGTTTTATATTAAATAAATTATGAAAAAATTGCCTTTTAATATAAGTAAAAGTCTTTGTAGAACTTATCTGTGATTTACACATGTATCCTTCAGAAAGTCAGGTATTCTAACTTTTGTACAAGGTAAAAGTTACTTGGAAGATGAAAAGGCATGCCAAAACAAATAGAAAACATTTTATTTCATTTTAAACTACCTTCCTTTTTAAAAAAATCTTCATTTTGTATACATGGTTATATAATTGTCAAATTACTTTTTATTGTTTTACATATCAGCCTACAAACATATAATTCTTAAAATTTGCTTCTGTTTTTAAAAAATTGTCACTCCTTAAGACAAATGAAATTTTACTGCCCTATTTTTGTACAACAAAATACTGTAAATTAAAATTAACTGTAGTAGTCTAATGTTGTAGAGAAAAATCAGGAAATTTCTAAACTCACATTGTTAAAACAAATTTTTAATTGAGGAATAAAACAGAAAAGAGAAAGAAAACTTCCTTAACTAATGATTCTCAAATATTATTTGTATTATTTTATTTCACATAAGAATCAAAACGTGGGAGATCTCACTTGTTAGGTATGAAGCAAGAAGTGTAATTATACAGAAAAAACTGGATTATAGCAAATAATACCAATTTGTCACCATACCTATGCATGAAATAAATTCAAAGTTATATAATTTTAGTGTTAGTTACTGAATCAGAAAGTTAGAGTAAGATGTTATGTTTTAAAAGTATGTATTACATAATTTTTAATTATTGTGGTATACTAATACCAGGAATTTTGTGAAGTGTATCTTAATATTGATTTTAGATTCAAAAGAATTTAATTATTGTTATAAGGAGGTACTTTTGCATGTAAAATTCACAAGTTTTTGTGTAATTTATACTAAATTGGGACAATTATATGTACATTCTCTGCTTATTATAGTTTTGAAATTTACAAAGTAAACAATTGGTTGTAAACCTAAAATTTCTTCCATTTTTAGAGTACAATGTCAAAGATCTCTGGTCAAATCAAGCGACATTGCAAGTGCTATCAAAATGACTTCAGACTATTTCTGTTCTGTTTTCTTTGGCCTTATGTGATTTTTTTTATATTTTAAAAACCTTTGCACTCTGTGATGTTACTGTAGAACAATCTGATTTTTCTTGATTACACCTCAAAGTTGATTATAGTGATTTAATAATAACATAAATATCAGAATTTGTATACTTAAATACTTTATTTTTAAAATAAAGAATCAGCAGGAATCTAATGACTATTCATGTGTATAATCTAATATTTTTTACTGTCTTAAGTAGCAAATATTAATATTAACTAATGTTGTTATTAATAACAAATTAATATTTTAACTATTATGGCATGCCATAATTACAACGTAGGGTTAGTGGTGATGTGAATGAATTTAACTAAATGATCTGTTTATATCTAAAGGAGTCTTTAAATAGAACCTCGAAGCTTTAAGAGAAGAATTAATAGTAGTTATTAGTAGTGTTATTGGGCCGGGTGCGGTGGCTCTCGCCTGTAATCCCATCACTTTGGGAGGCCAAGGCGGGTAGATCACGAGGTCAAGAGATTGAGACCATCCTGGTCAACATGGTGAAACCCCGTCTTTACTAAAAATACAAAAAATCAGCTGGGCATGGTGGCACGTGCCTGTAATCCCAGCTACTCAGGAGGCTGAGGCAGGAGAATTGCCTGAACCCAGGAGATGGAGGTTGTGGTGAGCTGAGATCACGCCATTGCACTCCAGCCTGGGTAACAAGAGGGAAACTCTGTCTCAAAAAAAAAATAGCATTATTAATTAATTATTAATGTTATTTCATTGCCAAATGCTGTATGTATTAGGTATTTTACAAATGTTAACTATCTTGATTTAATAGTCAAAATTTAGGGGTAAATACTAGTATAACCTTTGTTTTCAAATAAAGAAATTGGACAAAGAAGTGAAAAACTTGTTTCAAGGTTCATATAGTCAAAGAACATACAAGAACTGATAGTCAAATGTTGGTTATATTTTTATAATATTTCTGATGTATTGTTAAACCTTAAGCATCTCACTGAATTGTTGCTTCAATTTTTAATTAAGACATTTAATAAAAACAGTTTTAATGTATTTCTGTAAAAATTTCAAAATATTACTTTATAAACAGACACACACGTGTGCACACACACACACACTCACATTCACATATATTTTTGTACCAAAAATGGAGAGAGACATCACTCAAAAGTTAAAAACCAGTTATTGGTTTGAAATCCTGAAGATGCTGGACTGAAACGAGTCTTTCTGATGTTTTTGCAGGAAATCCTCTGCACCTTGAGAAATTTTACTTCAGACAGAGAATATAAAGGCAGACACAAATAAAGGCAAGATGCCATAATTATAACATAATTATAATCACCAGTATAACTAGTGGTGATGTGAACACATTTAACGAAATAATGTGTTCATATCTAAAGGGGCCTTTAAATAAAACTTTGGAGATTTAAGAGAAGGTAAAATGCATTTTCAGCCAGTGCAAGAGAAACCTACATGTTATTTCGTCTTTCAGATATGGAGTTGGATATACCTTTCGTTTATCTAAACGTGCATCAAAATATTTACGTGGTTACTGTATTCTTTGATTCTTCTAGGAGTCAATCTTAAGATGTGATGCTTTCCTGTGAAACCTGAAACAAAGTAATCTTGGGAACCAAAGACTCTAGGACTCTTGGTGCCAACAGAGTTGCTCTGTGAGTATCCTTGGTGTGTAATAATGTTTTCTTACATGTAGTTATTGTAAGTCATGCTATTTATGCAATTGGTGAATCTTAGTGTGAATGCTAATATTGGCATGACTACTGTTTTTGGTTGGTTTGTTTGTTTTTTGAGACAGAGTCTCGCCCTGTCTCCCAGACTGGAGTACAGTGGTCGATCTAGGCTCACTGCAACCTCTGCCTCCCAGGTTCAAGTGATTCTACTGCCTTAGCTTCCTGAGTAGCTGGGATTACAGGTGCACGCCACCATGCCCAGCTAATTTTTTGTATCTTTAGTAGAGACGAGGTTTCACCATGTTGGCCAGGCTGGTCTTGAACTGACCTTGTGATCTGACTCCTCGGCCTCCCAAAGTGTTGGAAATACAGGCATGAGCCATTCAGTTTCTAAAACAGGACATATCTTAAAGATGGTACTATTAGCTTCTAGTGTTTCTGTGATTCAATATACTGTGTGATCTTGATTGAGAGACTAAGCCTTAGTTTCTCTGTATATAAAAAGAAGCTAAATATAAACTTTCTTCCTTAAAATGGTTATAAAAGTAGTAAATGTTAAACTTTTAATAATAATAGAATTATATTGTTTTTATTACTAACTTGAATTCTGATTTTAAAATAAACAAGAAAGCTAGAAGTATATACTTTTAGTTATTAACCTTTATTATTGGCACTTTTTAAAAAAACTACATTTTGAACAAAAATGATCATATTGGCATTTCTTTATGTTCATATTTTGTTTGCATAGGGCTTTATCACTCACAAAGTTTCCACACTCATGACTCAATCTGATTTAATCCTTCATACAGTCTTGGTGTAAAGCAGGTCTGGGATTATAACTCCCACAGTACAGATGAGAAAACTGATGCTCAGCATTGTGTCTTGCTGAAGACTGCATAACTTACAAGGGAGATAGTTTGAAATCCAATGTTCTTATAACCAGTCTATATTCTTTTCTCTAGACTGTTCTTATAACTAGTCAAATAAATGTGGCCAACTATATTCATTTGGTCAAATTTGTGTGTTTGCATTTGGATTGCTAATATTTTAACTAGTTTATAAGAGTAGTATGATAAATTTACAAAGTTGTGTTACCTGTTTGTTGTGAACAATTCCTAGACCAACTGTGTGGTTGTATTCTGTCTTCTACCTCCGTTGTATCATGTGCTCTGTCTTCTACCTTAAGGTCATGAACAAATCTTGGTATATCTATTAGTAGGCAGAATAATGGACCCCCCATCTTAATCTCTGTCATTTATGAATATGTTATATTATATGGTAAGGGGAGAATTATGGTTGCAGATGGAATTAAGGTTGCTCATCAGGTGACTGAAATTATCCTTGATTATGTGCGTGGGCCCGATGTAATTATTAGGATCCTTATAAATGAAAGAGAGAAGGCAGAATGAAATATACTCATTCCAGCTGTGATGGTTTGATGATGTAGGAATGCAGCCACAAGCCAAGGAATGCCAGTGGTGGCTTTCAGATGATGGAAAAGCAAAGAAACAGATTCTCTCCTAAGTCATTCACTCACACCTCGATTTTAGTCCAGTGAGACCCATTTCAGACTTCCAACCTCTGAAATTGTAAGATAATAAACTTTTGTTGGTTTAAGCCATTATATTTGTGGTTGTTTGTTATAGCAGCAGTAGAAAACAAATATAGGTCAACACTGTGAAATTATGGAGAGCCTCAGAGTAGAAACAGTGGTTTCCGCCGAGAGGTTATTAGGTCAGTCATAAATCTATTTGCTGCTTTGATTGAATTTTTTGTTCTGTACTAAGAGTGTGATCATAGAGCTAGTTTGTAATATGTGATATGATTCCTTTTGGATACATAGTTTACTAATGGAACCAGCTTGCCCCAGCCTGTTTTTATTCTACAGAATATAGATCTTGGAGTGTTTGGGTTCAAATGCTGGCTCTGATGCTTACTAATTATAATCTATTCAAACATCAGTTTTTTCATCTGTAAAATGAGGACAAGAAAAATTATTTTTAGGGTTGTTGTGAAAATTATTAATTTATGTTAAGTGCTTAGAATAGTATTAATACTTGGCATATTATAGACTAATTAAATGGTAGCTATTATTATTACTAAATTATTCCTCAAACACTATATTCATTCTCTTTATTCAGATATGGATAGGGAAGTATCCAAAACTTTGGGATGAGTGCCTTTGTGGTAGAGGCATTTTAATATAATAAAATTATGTAAATTTTGTAATTTGTTCTTTTACTTAATTTTTAAAAATTTCTTGTGCTTTGAAAACATCTTTGTTTTCATCATCGTAAATATGTAGATGAAGCGAATTTGCATATTCTATAATAATTCATTTCATTGAATTTACTTATTCTGTCTAGCTGTTTTATATTGTAAGCCTTTAGGTTTTTTTTGATGTCACTACTTAAGCATAAGAATATCTTGGTAATAGGGAAAGTATGCAGCACCCTGTAATAAGGATCCTACATTAAAAATACTTCACACGCGAGGAAAACCTAGTCTGAAAGGAGTTTTCAAAGACATTGTTAAGAGAGGGGTCTCTCAAGTGGATAAATAGAAATGACTGCTTCTGTCAATGCCCCATTCTCTGTGTTTGACAGGAGTGGTGGGTCTGCTTTAGTGCTGGTGGGAGCATGTATTTAGCCTTTTAGGCCTTCACCACAGTGGCTATATTCCAAGGGACAATACATTAATTAATTCAACCAACATGTGTTACATACCTCCTAATGCCAATAAATAAATGATACCTGTTCAAGATGTTCCCAGAATAGTGGAGAAGAACCAATGATCCCTGATGTAGCATAGATTCTAGCAGTAAAGTTAGGCAGGGAGGCGAGATCTATTTACTCTTTCTAGCTATCCAAAAAAGACCAGTAGCAGCACGCCATGATTTCTTATGCAGTTTTAAAATGTGCATTGCTCTTACAAAACAGTTTGTCTGTGCCTGTCTTTTGACAGCCTAGATTTTCTCTAGTACTAGGAAAAACAAAACAAAATACATTTCTTACACAGACTCCCGAAATACAAGGGATATCATCCTTTTAAATTCGATACTTAAAAACTATAATCACAGGCCTGTTGAGTATGTGATTAAGAAACAGATACCAATAATCATATGATGTGTTTTGCTAAAGTGAGATTTCTCTTTTTCCTCAAATACATGTAGTATCTTTGTGGTGCTTTGCAGTCAATTTCTTCGATTTTCATTTTACAGTCTTACTTCTCCCACACTTTACTAATTGGCATCTCATTTACCTGGATACAGCTAAAAATCCAGTAAATTAGAAGGGGTTTTCCCCAAGGCAATTAACTTCCGGAAATGAGTGGATCTTTTGGGTAGCCTTGGAGAACTGTTTGAACACGGAAACTACAAAGGATATCACTCTTTCTTGACCCTGTTTTAACTTGAATCCAGCAGTTAACAGAAGGGTAGCAGAGAAAAAGAGAAACTATTTGACAAAAAAAAATATATTACTCCAATGAGTTAGTGAAAGGTTTCAAGTGAATTATGTACCAAATACCTTGCCATGCCTTCTTTGCCAGTCTGTGCCTTTCTGTATTAAAACCACATCAAGAAATCAGTAGAGATAAGCTGAGCCTGCCAAGCTGTTAATATATTCTCCCTAATATTCCACTAAGACACTCACTGTGTCCTCATTTCTTTTGCATAGATTGTAGATTGTGTGGGTTGATATAAATGCTAGCAATCAACTAATTAGACTTTTTCTATCATGCCGAGTTGGCCGGATTTACAGATTTTGGCAATATCTTAAACCTAGGAAAACTTTTAAATTTTTGGTCTTCTCCATTCATAATAACATGGTTCAGAAATAATGAATTAAGCGTTCTTGATATGAAATAGTAATATTTGCTAATGTGTCTATCAAATATGAGTAAAAATGAGTATAATGGTTTTAGATACAGGGGAATGCTTCTATGATACTGTCCTGATAATTAAAATCCTAACATTATTTAACAGCTTTATGATGTGACAGCAGATGCCTAGAGTAAGTAGTTTTATTATTTTGGCTCTTACCTTTAGCATATGTGAAGGTAGATGGTGATCAATTAAATTATACAAGGTTCTATAATATATGACATTGCTAATACTACTTTATAACTCTATTTTAGCTTTGACAATTCTGGTTTTAATACACACAAACACACACACACACACACACACACACACACACACACACCCTCCCACCATGGGAAACTGAAGTCTTAAAAATTTTTCTTAATGTATTTAGTAGGTACAAGTGCATATTTCCTACATGTATATATTGTGCAGTGGTAAAATCTGGGCTTTTAGTGTGCCCATGACTCAAGTAGTGAACATTGTATCCAATAGGTAATTTCTCAACCCTTATCATCCTCCTAGCTTCCTACCTTTTGTAGGCTCCAATGCCTATTATTCCAGCAAGTGAATATTTGAGCAAAGAGAAGCTGACTTATTTATCTTGGCATCCCTACTGTACATAAAATATAATGGGTTTTGTAGCTAGCTAGTCACTAAATATTAAGTTAGTTAATTAAACACAAGGAAAAAATATATTTAGCTAATCCCTTTGACTCATCTATTTAATTCTTAAAACTGATGTTGACCTGAAGAATGCAGCTTGGATATATGTTCAAATGAGGTTTCTTATTTGAACTTATCATCCAAACTTAGTCTTTGCCTTGTATGGGAAGAATCTGCCTTAATAAAATTATTACACAGTGTAGACCAGATCAGATGTGTCTCCTCTGTAGGAATGCATTTCTGGAAAAAGAAGAGCCCAGAATATTGCGGCATTAAGCTTGCTTCGTTTTTTTTTTTTTGAAAATTCAGCAACCAGATGTGGAATGAATTGAAGCGTTATTTTAACAGGAGTGTCTGTATTAGGTAATATATTAATGTATTAAGCCAGTATGTAGGTGAGAAGCCTGGGGGTTAGAGAGGTTAGATCATTTGTTGAAGATGAGAGAAGTAAAGT